TTTATTATATGAAACTAAAAGTTATCTCTAAGAACTTTGAAATAAAAGATGTGAATGGGGCATCCTACGTGATAGAAATAAAAATATTTCATGATACATCACGTGGATTTTTAGGATTGTCTCAGAAATCATATATTGAAAGAGTTCTAGAAAGATTTGATGTGGAACATTATTCAACCAGTATTGTTCTATACATAAAAGGGAATAAATTCAGCCTAATGCAATCCCAAAGAAAGAGTTAGCTAGAAAGTAAAGAAATGAAAAATATTCCTTATGCATATATTGTGAAGTTTGATGTATATACAAGTTAGTAGGAGATAAAAGATTATATGCTCACATTTAGGAAGACATTTTTTAATTGGTTATTTGTTCCTTTTGGCTGGAGGAACAATATTATGAAAAAATGTAAAATAATTTATTATTACTCTATCTATTATGAATTTTTTAATTTGTAGCATATTTTGAAGTTACAACTTCTGATTGCAGAATTTATTTCAGGATATGAAGTTATGGGTACCATTTTTTTTTTTTCAGATTGCTGAAAATTTATACTGCAATTGTTGATCTTTTTGTATTAAAAATGATAGGTGTTATAAAGTTGAAATACTTTATCATTAAAGAATATATTTAGAAATAACGAATGTGTATCGAATATATAAGCACACAACTTATGATTGCAATCTATTAACGAATAGACTGCCACCCAAGACATTTATAGAACATGTTGAAAAAATGGGTCTTGAATGTAGTCAATGTTGATTATTTTTTAATTGTGGATTGCTTAACAGTGCTTATATATATTTGACATTTTGCGCTCATTAAATGTGTTTATGATATTTCCTATTAATTAATGTACATGTACGTATTGCTTTAATAAGTAGTAATAGGAATAGTTTTGGAAAAGATATTATTGTTAGATCATTATTGATACTTCTCATTTATAGACTATGTTGAATAGGTTACTAGTATTGTGGTACATGGAAGGGACTGTGTCATTTGGTAATATATAACTGTCATGACTCGCATTGGTAATTTATTTACCATGGTATTTATGATGACCAACTTAATAAGTCAATCTGATTTATGGTGCACACTAATGACTGTTTTACTAAACCGTTACAGAAGTTATCATATGGGCCAAGTAGGAGACTGTAAGATATTTTCTTATATTTATGACCCACGTGATTTAGATACGTGATTTACTTCTATTATTTGGTGGTTAAATAAAATAGATATCAGATTAATATTATATTATGTAGTAAACTTATAAATTACCCTTTTGATAATTAATTATTGGAGAAGTGTTTTCTTATTTATTCCTTACTTTGATGGAAAGTGGAATTAAAGTTAGTAAAAAGGAAAACTGGTCCTCTCTCTGGTTTTATAAAAGTGCATATTCCCATTAGTTATGTACGCTAATGAAAACAACACGTATAATATTTATGTGTGCAAAAGGTCAAGAGAGAGAAATTGGTTTTCACGCTTTGGCTATCGCAGTTTAGCATGTTGTTCGTTCCGCAGAAAGAATCTCGACGTTTGCCTTGATTTTTTTAATTTCTTCAAGTTTTATAATTACAGATTGAGGTATTTATATCTAACTATTTATTTATGCATTATAGATATGTGAAAATCATGAAAATCTAAGGTATAGGATTCATGTAAATTTGTGATTAATGGTCTCACAAATGATTAATGTTTACAGTCATCGCTTGCAGAATAATCCCCTCTGTCAATTGCCTACAAAACAATAATATACCACAACCATGATCAACACCAACCTACCCAAATTCACCTGAATATTGGCAAAATATTAAATATATGTGATCAAATTTGTTCTAATTCATTAGTTGCACTTAAGAAGGCTACAAAAATTCAAGACGGTAGTGTAATATGAACAAATCTCCGAAAAAATAGTGTTATTCATTCATCAAAATGTGATTTCGAAAAATTTTGCAAATTTTCAATACAATCCGAAGTTCGAAAATATACAAATCTTCCTTCCGCTAGTTCCATGATATATAGTAGACAATAACTAAATTAAATATATATAGAGAGAGAAATGATATAGTAAAGAAGAGTAACATCTACATATATATCACATCTCTCATTCTTTTGTGGATATTAAAACGATTCATCTAAGCCAAGGTTTTGTTCGAGCAAAAATATTACATAGTTCAAAAAACAAGTTTCTTTAGTCTTTCTTGCACTCGAGAAGTTTCTATGCCGATTCGTGGCCAAATAGCCTGCAAAAGTATATAACGAGTTCAAGTTGTTAATCTTGTAAGTGGAGATTATAATAAATACATTGTGATTTGACAGAATTTTAATGCGACTTTGATAAGAGATAGTATAAATGTTTACACCAATGAATAACTAACTCACCATCCTAAGAGTTCGACCTAATGAATAAGAAGAGAAAGGAGTATGAACTACCCAAAAAAAATACAGCACTTGCAAAATAAATTTCGCAAGTTCAAAGTAAAGAGTACGATGAAACTCGTGTTTCATTTAAATTTTTACTTAATTATATGATTATATGAAGTCTTTGAGTACATGAAAATTCATCAATATGGATTTTATGGATTAAAATAATAAACTTGAAGAGTGATTTAAAAAAAAATCAGGGAATCCAAAAGAAATTTTGCACTTCCTAAGAAACTATGTATGGTTTGATGTTCACGATTTTAAAAAAGTGTTCGGTCTAACCTCCGACAATGTGGGACATTACACAAATTTAATGAAAATTCCATTTGATATAATTTGGTTCATTAATTAAGATACAAAAGTGATTCTGCTCTAATTTAATTTGCAACTGTATATGATGCTTGTGTGTTTATATATATATATATATATATATATATATATATATATATATATACACACACCTGTGAATGAATTGTATATAGGGTAAAGTGCAATAAAACCCCCTATACTATCAGGCAATTGCATAAAACCCCCCTCAATTAAGCATTGCCCCCCTCAACTATTAAAAAGTTGCATTTAAGGACAAAATTAAAAATCACCTCATCAAAGTTAACCGAAAATAGAAGATTACCATTTTACCCTATGATCAAATGACGCTGTTTAATTACTTTATTAAATGTTGTGGCTGATGTATCAAAATTCAATCTCAATATCCAATAGGAATCTGCCAGCACATCACCATATATATCACAAAAACTATCTAACACACTACTTCATGTTAGCAGCCAAACGCTTCCTTACGCTTTTTCTCTCTCTACTCTCTCCCTCTGTACGATATCCTTATCCGGCGACGGATGAATCACCCACCAATCGCAACCTCCGTCAATTGAACCAGCCAACGACCATCATCGGCGACAACCGCCGCCGACTCCGGATATTTTGATTGGAACCTGATTTGGTGGAGTGAAGCTCTGGATTTTGCCAAACGTCCATCAATCAACCTACAACTCTCTCTATCTTATCTCTCTCCCACAATAATCCTAAATCTGGATTTCCACAACTGAGTAATTAACTTCTCCTTGTAAAACTCTTCAACGAGCAACCACGTCACAAACAAAACGCCGGCTGCGACACCAATTGGAGAACTTGAATTTGGAGAAGAATAGAATGGTGATCCGTGGTCTAGCTTCTTAAAAGGCCACTATTCAACTATATATATGTATATTGCGATAGTGACGGTAGGCCATGAAAAGTGCCCTCTGTTGAGTGGTGGTGAGTGGAGGCGATATTGCGTCGGCTTCAGTGCTGGTGAAGAGAGAAATTTTGGAGGCACGTCAAAGAAAGAAGCAAATAGCCGATTTTGAAAAATCAGGAAAAAGATTATTAATTTTGTGATCGAAGGTGCAGATGAAATGGATAGTATTTGAATTTTGTGAAGGGATCCATGGGATGGGTCTCAGGTCTGTGCAACTATATATATATATATACATATATATGACTTGTAAGACTGAAAAAGAGTTTTTTTTTACTCGTCACATTCAACACCATTGATGCATTTCTAGGATAGCATCCCAATTCAAAGGGTGTGCTGCAAGTCCTGAGATAGAAATTTGAAGCAAAGCCAAACATGGGACAATGCCATCACAACCATTCTAAACATGCCAATAAGGTGTTCATGTAAACATCAAATAATAAAATACTAGCTAGGGCATAAATTCTTGCATCGCAGAGTCTGTACAACAAAACACCAGATTCAGTAGTACTAAAAACGTTGCATTCAGAAGCCTACGCATTAATTAAGGAAGCCCAAAAGGGGAAACTATTCCACAAAATCCAGAAAGGGCAATGCCTGTGGATATAGGCAAACTTGAAAACCTTACCAAAAACCCTACCGGTCTTCTCTCTATGAGCAATATTATCAGCCAGAAACCCTCATATACATAATTAAATCTAAAACCATCTCCTGCAGTTTGCTGATTTAAGAAAGTGAGGATTGATCAACGCGGCGATCTCAAGAAACCCAACACGCTCCTTCCCTGCAAATATACTCTTCAGCTTCTCATCGCAGACTATGATCTTCTTATTTTCAGGTCCTGAAGGTTTTCCTGTTTGATGTAAGCCCAAATCTGCTTGAGGGCTTGGGTGCGAGGGATCTCAGGGACGCCGCCGAGGAACGCTTGCATTTCCGGCGACACACGGCGGGGCTTCATGATTCCTCTCGGCTCCCGCTTCCCTGGAACAGTCACCGGCTTCAACGCGGTGGCATAGGTGACCGTGCGCACTGTGTGCATGCTAACATGAACAGGAGAAGCAACTGGAGCTCCGACAAGCCGCAGAGACAAAGACGACAACTTGGAGAACGACGCCGTGTCGTCGACCAAGACAGTAGAGAAAACCCCCAAAGAAATCGCCATTTAAGGCCTTCGTAGAGATGGTGGTGTTGCCTTCTCTCTCTAGAAATTGAGGAGTGTGTGAAGCCATAGATTGAAAAAGGGTCGAAAGGGCTCAATTTGGGGATTTATTAAATAAGGGTAAAATTGTCATTTTAAAATTGCAGCATAGGCCACGTGCGCATTTCACTGATAGAACTTGCTGGAACAGTGTTGCTTGGGGTATATTGCAAAAATTGAAATAGTTTAGAGGTTTATTGTAAAAATAGAAGTTCAGAGGGATTTTTAGGGAGAAAGAGTAAAGTTTGGGGGGATTTTTTGCACTTTACCCTTGTATATATGATCTTGTCGCCCATATTAGAATAGTTTGCACTCACAACTTCAACATTTTCTTCCTCGAGAACAGTTAGAAGTTCATGCAACATGAAATTTTTGTCAATCAATTTCACCTCCAAAGTTGATCCCATTTCTTCAACTGCAAGTACCGTCAACTTGAGTTGTTCCTTCCTTCTCTGCAGTTGTTCTATGCTTTCCTTCAGTCCTTTAATATGGTCACCTGCTTTCTCTAACAAAACAGGTAATGCCACTCTTTCCTGATCAAAAAACACAAAACCATTATCATTTTGTTTGTGTTTATATATATATATATACACACACACACACACACACACACACACATAGAGACAGAGAGAGATATACCTGTGATCTTTGAGTAAAGACGAGAGAGGAAAGGATGGAAATTAGATGATTCATTTTTCTTCTTCGGTTTTTCTCCACTTCATTTCTACGTGTTTTAAGTGAGCTGCTTCCGGGCTGCATTTTCTTTTGTCCCTCCAGCACGGCTCTCAAGAATTAAATCTAACTCTTCCAAGACAGTTCATATATATATATATATATATATATATATATATATATGTCTGTGTGTGTTTCTTAACTTTATTTTGGGCGTGTTCTTATTTTTTTTTGGGCGTGTGCCCGCGCGTGTGTATATATATATATTTACGTATGTATTTGACTTTAATTCTTAGAGGTACGCCTAGAATCATAAAATTGTCGCAGAAAGTGGTTCAATGATTGTCAAACTTAGAAAAAGTGTAGTTTGAAGATAGAAACTTATAGCAGCGGAAATGCGGGCGCCGAAGAATATAGTATTTGTTATGGTATTTGTTATACGTCACCCTCGCTTAATATAAACACTCTCATTGGGCCGACATTCCCGTCACAATGAGACACGTGAGGCTTCATTAAATGCTTAGGTTTGAATCCTTTTCACTAAAGTCGTTTCTGTAGTTGGTGGAGTTAACTATTTATTTATTTATTTATTTATTTGAGAGATATTAAATTATAGTACATTCTTCTCATATTAGATGTCCACATTTGACTTATAATTTTGATGAGTCAAAAATTTTTAAATAAACAATTAATATAGAATAAAAATAGTATATAAAAAGAATATAATTATAAAATTCTTTAAATGATTCAAACAAAAGATAATAATGAATCAAAGTTTTGGAAGTAGACATTTAATATGGAACAGAGGGAGTAATAAATTTTAGCGTCAAAATAAATTCGATGGAGGTGTAATTTTATTGTTTCATTTTCAAGATTTGAGTTCGGAAGTAGAATTGACAAGAGGGCTCGTGATATCACACCCTGATTCGAAGAAAACGTCTGTTAGAAGAGGTAAGACAGTGAAGATAGTTTAGACTTTAAAAATAGTAATTTTTCAAATATTACACTGCTTATGCGGAGCCAATACGCAGTTGATTTTTTTTAAATCGTTTTTAAACTAAGACTCTTTATCTTTTAACTATTTTTTATTGAACATATAGTAACTATATTGTTATAATGGTTTGGAAGGCTAGTCCCTTGAGAATGGAGATTGGAGACGAGCGACAATTCTCTTGGAATAATATGTGTTATTCTTGAATGATGTTTGGTCTAAGACTGCTAATTATGCGGAGCGTTTGAGCATGGGATCCTTTAATTGCTGGAAGATTTGAAAATGTAGGAATGATTAAAAACATGAAAATCATAGAGCTAGGAGTGTAGGGATAAAAACATGAAAATCTTTTGGGTCAGTACGGTGCGTGTGTGTGTATATATATATATATATATGTTTACGTATGTATATGACTTTAATTCTTAAAGCTAGGAGTGTAGGGATATGCCACTCAATTGATTGATCCAGACATCACACGTTGCACACGTGTCTTTAAAGCTAGGAGTGTAGGGATATGCCATTCAATTTTTCGGCCGGATTGTGTAAAGACAATACACTTGAATGAAACGAAGTGTTTGAACCTATGCGACGTATAGGGACCCTAAAGGTGTGATTTTCAATTCAACCATGTGTTTCTTAACTCTCTTTTAGGCGTGTGTGTCCGCGCGCGCGTATATATATATATATATGTTTACGTATGTATATGACTTTAATTCTTAAGGCTAAGAGGGTAGGGATATGCCATTCAATTGATTGATCCAGACATCACACGTTGCACACATGTCTTTAAAGCTAGGAGTGTAGGGATATGCCATTCAATTTTTCGATCGGATTGTGTAAAGACAATACACTTGAATGAAACGAAGTGTTTAAACCTATGCGACGTATAGGGGACCCTAAAGGTGTGATTTTTAATTCAACCATGTGTTTCGTAACTTTCTTTTGGGCGTGTGTGTGCCCTCGCGCGCGTGTATAGATATATATATATATATATATGTTTACGTATGCATTTGACTTTAATTCTTATATTTAGGCCTAGGATCATATAATTGATTGTCAAATAGAAAAAGTAGTTTGAAGTTGAAACTTAGAAGCTGTTCAACATATAGGAGCATAAAGGTGGAGTGAGTAATTCCTGGAAATAAACAGGCGATTTTCAATTCAAATTCCCCTCTGCCTCAAAAAGAGTGTTTTTTTAAGAAATCCTGACTTTTTAATTTGTAAGGGTCACAATTCTTCAAAAAAAAAACACTCTTTTTGAAATAAAATATATATATATATTATATGAATATACCAATAATAGGTCATGCCAATGGCAATGCTTGGTACACCGGAGGCTTCATTAAATGCTTAGGTTCCAATCCTTTTCACTAAAGATGTTTATGTGGTTGGTGAAGTTAACTAATTTTTTTATTTTTTTGTGAGATATTAAATTATACTACATCTGTCCTATATTAGAGCATCTTCAGCAGTTTGTTAAAATATTCTTTTGTGTAAATTATTACTGGCACGTATGATGTGTAAATTTTTTTTTTTATCTCCAGTAGTTTGTTTCTTATTAATGAAAAAGGAAATATGTTAATACACAGCCACATCAACATATTTCTTTTCTCCTCCTTCTCATTAATCAACCCTATATTAAATAGGTTTATAAAAATTATGTGGGGTTCAGGCATCACACTGATTGATTGTTATTAAGAGATATATTTTTACACAAAAGGTATAAAACAACCACTGCAGCTAAAAATAAATAATCCAAATTTTTTTTTGTAAATCTAAAAATTATACACAACAATTGGAGATGCTCTTAGATGTCCATTTTAAAAACTTTGAATCACAATTTTTTTTTTAAGTAAATGGGTAAGCTTTGATAAATAAAATAAAGATGTACATGAGGTCCACATGAGGACATTACAACCAAGACCAGAGACAACAAGATTTTGAATCATAATTTTGATAAGTCAAAGTTTTCAAAATGAACATCTAATATGGAATAGAGATAATATATAAGCATATAAAAATATATAGAAGGAATATAACTAAAAATGACCTCAAATGACTGATAGGCAAAAGATGGTAGTAAGTCAAAGTTTTCGAAGTGAACATCTAATGTGTATGCTAATAATTTTATAGTATATGGATTTTATATGCACATTAACTATATTTACATTTTAAAGAATTTTGTCTCACCTTTTTGGAAAAAAAAAATTCTCTATATATTTCTGCTAACAGTGTGTTATCTCTCTTAAAAAAAATAAAAAAAAATTTATTTTCAAAATTGTCAGATTAATGTAAAGTATATTATATAGAATGAAAACTCAAGTTCCTTTTATAATTATAGCAAAGAAAAAATTTATTGCAAATTAAATTTTAATTTAGTTATCAGTCATTAACTATATAATTAAAAAATTAAATTAAAGATACTTATTCATTAAATATAAACAATATACTTTTAATTCTAAAGTTAAAAAAATTAAATTAAAGATACGTATTCATTGTATATATAAACAATATACTTTTAATTTTTTAAACTTTAGAATTTACAATAAGTTTTCACACACACACACACACATACATATATATATTTGTACATAGCAACAAATGGATATTAAATTTTTATTGAAAAAAAAATAAACAAATGGGTGTTCAATCATTTATCGTCATCATACTATTAAAATTGTGATAAAATTACGCTCTCAATTAAATCTAACTATTAATATTAAAAGATTCAAAACAATTAATAATAGTTTATAAAATGCAGAAAACAATCTTATAATATGCTTATAGTGCATATCACACCCTTCATGTTCTAAATGACCATTTTCGTCATTTCATAAAATGATGCATTTTTAAATAATATGTAAAATGTGTATATAAGGGTAATTTAGTCAAACTATAACTTAAATATGTCATGAGGGTATTTGCACCAATGATACCAATGTAAACATAATATAGGTATCTTTGTTGTACTTGACCCAAAAATAAAAAGTTTTTATTTTTATTTTTTTATTTATTTATAATTTTTTAGTACAATCAGAAGTTCGAAGTTACACAAATCTCATTCCCGTCCCTGATATTGTACAATAACTAAATATATAGAAATGATACTGTAAAGCAAAGCAACATCTACATATGACATCTCTCATTTTATAGTATAATTAAAAAGAGTCACCCAATAATTGTGTTTGTGCCTCCGAGGCAAGATTGTAAATGTGAAAAAATGTCATGTACTTCACCATGACAAGAAAATAACGCCTCAATTTTTATTTATATTATAACTTAAACTCCTAATATTCTTTAAAAAAAAAAAAGAAAAGGATATCATCAAATTACAACATTTGATAGTAAAATATTACATAGTTCAGAAAACAAGTTTGTTTAGCCTTTCTTCCACTCGTGAAGTTTCAATGCCAATTCTTGACCAAATAGCCTGCAAAAATATGTATGAGCATTGTTAATCTTGTAATTGACGATGATAATAAATACATTGTGATATGTAATAATTTTCATGTGACCATAGTATAAATAGATTGAGTACTGCAATTAAGAGTTCCTCGTAATAATAGTCGTGAGCTCACCACAGCTGACCACTAAATATATAGAAGATGTATTAAATAATTTATTTAACTTTTCAAATATTTTAAATAGTTGTCCGGTAATTAACTTTTCAAATATTTAGCATTTGTTAAATTATACCTATTATATCATTTACCTACCGCCTACTGTTTCTTGTTCACACATTATTACCATTTATACCACTCAACTACCTAATTCACTTGTATATCTTTCGCCTATAAATAGCACCCCTTATGTACTTCATTGATCTACCACCATGTGCCACCATGAGCCTCAATGCGTGTCACGGATCTACCACCACACACCTCAACGTGTTGGATCCCATGAACCATGCGCCTCAACATGCCAGGTCTTCATACATATAAACAACTCGTCAGTGTGGTAATCTGACAGTATCTCTCGCACTCGCCCACAAGGTCATCACAATTCACTCCCCTTGGAGGCTTGATGTCCCCGTCGGCACACTTCCGACTGGGTCAGGCTCTGATACAATTTGTAACGACCCACTCCACCACATGATATGATATTGTCCGCTTTGTACCTGAGCCCGCACGATTTTATTCTTGGGTTTCACCCCAAAAGGCCTCATACCAGTTGGAAGTAACACATTTATATATAAGTACTTCACCTTTCCTCTACTTAGGCGATGTGGGACTGTACACCCGTAACTCATCAGTGTAATAACCTGACAGTATCTTTCGCACTCACCCACAAAATCATCACATCGAGTGGTCTTTGACCTCCACCACCACTTTCATGATATCGTTTCCAAACTCAACTTTGAATTTAAGGAGTATATTGATTATATTTATTATACCTTCTACCAACCATTTAAAATTTTTTATTCACTACACTATTATCTTTTATAGTACTCAGCTACCTAGTCGTCATTTCGCCTATAAATAGGCCTTTATGTACTATGGTTTTAAGCAATTAGATATTCAGTTTCATTTTTATACATTCTAACAGCACTGATAACTCACCGTCGTCAAAAATAGCACTTTCAAAACAACTCCCATGAGTTCTAGTAAAGAATTACAAGACAAGTGCCTTTTTTTAATTTAAAATTAATTACTTCCTTCCTCCCCAAAAAAAAAAAAAAAAAAAAAAAAAAACTTATTTTTACTGTTCCAAAATAAACATTCCAATTTAAAAATTAAAATTAGGAGTGTAAACGGTCTGGTTTGAGAGTTTTTTTGGGACCAAATCATTAATAACGAATTTATTGTTTTTGGAACCAAATCGGACCATGATACCCATGGAACCGAACCAAACCAAACTGCAAAGTACTGGTTCGGTCCAGTTCGGTCCAGTTCGATCCCGCGGGTTCAATTGATCTCTTTCTTCGACCTGCTGTTGCTGGCGTCACCACCACTCTCTTTCTGTTATAATATTGAACTTGAGCTTGAGCCTGTTCCTGAGGATGGAGCGGCTCCACCTGGTCCGTCCTTTAGCGGTCACGTCGAGGATTTGGTCGGCATCTGAAACTCAGCTATTGGTTCTCTTATTGATGAACGAATCAACTTATGGATCTAAGATGAGTACATGCATATGTGTGTGTTAGTGTGTTGTGTGTGTATGGAGAGAGAGGGGTTTGGAGAATAGAGTGATAATGAGAAAGTGATAGAGACACAAAATGGGTGGGGAAAGACCATATTTATTGCAAAATACCCTCTTTGTCATTAGTTGTCAACCCACTTGTCTCTTATAAAAGAAAGACTCGTTTTTTTTTTTTTTTTTTTTTTTTTTGGGGTAAGCGAGTTTTAGATAAAAGAAGGAAAACTTTCTTTAAAGGAAGACTTCACTTTTAGTGCAAAGATTCACTCACATCACAGGCTATCAAAGAAGCTCTTCAACCTCATGTAGTTATACCTTTATTGTATTTGTTGACATTTTTAAGCTTTAATCAAGGCTTTCTCTCGTTCAAGCTTATGCAGTATTATCTTTTCTAGTACTTTACTTTGCATGTAATTTATATTTTATATATATCTTTACTTCATGTAATTATACCTTTAATCTTCATGCAATTTCAAGTAGTGTAACTCTCTCTCCCTACACTTGTAATCCAACAAGACTTAACGGTACCAGGCTCTTACATTTCAAAAGAAAGTCAAGAGTTCGGGTGTCGGTGAAGACATGTGTATGTAAGTATCAATCAAGAAAAGAAAAAAAAATCCTTGTGACCCAAATACAATGGATCAATGATGGGCCAAATGTGTGACCAAATGCACCACTATCTCAATAGGGGTATTTGTTAGATTATATTGTATATAATCTTAGAGTTTAGGGTTTTATTGTAGCGGTCTCTACCTACCCACTTAACATATATAGATAACTTGTCCAGAACTCATCTACCACCTTGCCTTGTCTATATATAGATGCTTTATGTATATTGTAATTTTTCAACTCAATACCGTACGAGTTTCATATTTTATTTCTATTTCTATAACAGTATTCTCCAGTCTTGAACACGGTTTAAACATCACTTAATTTGCATTTTTTTCAAATAACTATGTAAGTTTACTGTTTTCAAAATGTGCGTGCCCGAGCATTACAGTTTAGTGGCCTAATTGGTATTGCATCTAGCTAGCTCTTGTAGAGGGTGTGTCGGTGTTGGAATCCTCTCCCCCCTAGTTCGAAAAAAAAAAAAAAAAAAAACAAGTGTACAATCTTCGTTGGTGGCAGTCATCTCCTATAGAAGCGCCATCAATTTAATTCACTCCCAATTCAAATGATGTGAAAGAAGTTGATTAGGTTCATTAAATACGATTCAAAAGTGATTCTGTTGTAAACTGTATATGATGCTTGTGTGTGTATAATTGTATATAAAAATACCTGTGAATGGATTGTATAGAGGGTTTTGGTACCCACGGTAGAGTAGCTTGCAGTCACAACTTCAACACCTTCTTCCTCAAGAACACTAAGAACTTGATGCAACATGAAGTTTTTGTTCAGCCCAGTAATCAATTTCACCTCCAAAGTTGAGCCCATTTCATCAACTGCAATTACCGGTAACGCTGAGCCTTCCAGGGCATCTGTATTCTCAATCTGATCACCCGTGAGTTGTTCTTTCCTTCTCTGCAGTTCTTGTATGCTTTCCTTCAGTCCTTTAATATAGTTAGTCGCTTGCTCCAGCAAAACAGGCAATGCCAATCTTTCCTGTTGATCAAAAAGCAAAGGCATTAATTCAATTTGTTAGTGTTTTCATTTGTGTGTGTGTGTATATATATAGATATATAGAGAGAGAGACCTTGGGTGTTTGGGTAAAGATGAGTGAGGAAATGGTGGAAAAAAGATGATTCATATGCATTCTTCGCTTTTTCTCCATGACATTTCTGCCTACTTTAAGTGAGCTGCTTTCGGGCTGCATTTTCTTAATTTTGTGCCTCGCCGCCCCCAAGAGACAGTGTATACACTTGATCTTAGCAAAAAGATGAGCCAAGTATTATATATATATATATATATATATATATATAAAGTGAGGGAGTAGAGAATTGTACCAGAGGGAGCTTTAAAAAACAATAATATATAGTGGGTATTATTAGAGTTCACATTTTTTAAATTTTCACCAAAAAATAAAATAAAAAAAATAAAATATTTACAAAATTTATAGATAATTAGAAAAAAATAAATAAAAAAAAAAATCAGTTGGGGTGGCTGCCTCCCTCCACTCAACCCTTATAATGAATTGTGCATATATATATATATATTCAACCCATTATTACATAATAAAGACAAAAATAATAATGATATATATATTTATGCATAAATATAATTTCAATTCTTCGAGCTACGCCTAGGATAGCTTGAAGAGTCTTCTATAGAGTGGGCGGTGCATTCATTCAATTGATCGATTAAGAGGCAAGGCAATACACGCTACACAAAAGTCAAAATTTTAGTATGTCTCTTTAGAAAACCATATATAAGAATAAGACACTAAAATAAATTTTCTAAAATGATTTCTTCTTACACACTTCCATTATTCAAAATTAAAAAAAAAAAAAAAAAAAAAATCTTATCTAATTATTTTGTCTTTTAAATTGTTGTTTCAAAATTAAAACTTTAATTGAATTTGACTCAGCATGATCAATTAAGAAAAAGAGCCTTTATTCAATTGTTTGAAGTCTTTTAACGTGCTGATTCAAAAATTAAAACATTCATTAATTTTTACTCGGCTCAACTAAGAGTAGTATGAGGGTTAAATTTTTCTTTTTCTTTTTGGTAAAGATAATTTGACCAACCCTTACTTTCCGCGAAAGTATTGAAACAATGAATATAACACCACCTAGCATCATAAATATTTTAAACCTGTGTCATAAACTTCTACTAAAACCATTCGAATTGAAAATTTGGTGGATCCTGCACACATGGTGTCCATCGACTTCTTTTGTTAAATTCAATTTAGAATAAGAAAATATAATTTAATTTCAAGATATCAATTTTATGTAATCAAATAGAACTTAAGTCATTTAAATTTGTTAAGTCCAATTACAACTTAGTTAGAAGAAAAGATTTAAAAATCATATTTCTTTTACACTTATTAGCAAGCATATATATTCTGAATTAATTATTCACTCAGATAGTTAATTTATCATTTAACTTTTCCTAAACATGTACTGTATCTATTCTGGGCAAATATTACCTTTTTTTTATAGTTAATTTATTATTTAACTTTTCCTAAACATGTACTGTATTTATTCTGGTCAAATATTACCCTTTTTTATATAAAAAAAAAACTTGTTTGTAACACTTTAAAATTTTAATAATTAATTCCAAATTCTGAATGATAGTGATGAAGAGAAAAGTGAAAATTAAGAAAGATTATTGGCTTTTGCTACAAACCTATTATTATTGCTGTACATAAGTATCATCTGTCTTCTACCAATGAAGTATTTTAATTAATGTGATCTCGAAAGTTACATTCTCACCAAATTTTGTGGTGAAGTACTATCCCACGAAACGAATATGCGCAGAAGTCAACAAGCACATGCATATAATTTCGATTTTCTCTATACATTTACATGCTAGCTTCAAGAAGATTATTCTTTATCTACTCTTACAAAATAATATAAAAAATACGAAAAAAAAAAAAACTACAATAACAAGTTAACAAATAAGATTTACCGAAAACACGAAGTTAACAAGTAAGAAATACTACTAAAAACAAAATTCACAATCCTTATAATATTATTAACTAGGGTGGCAAAATGGGTCAGAAACCATCAATCCACCATATTGATCCGTTTTTAAATAATTATAGGTCAAAAACCTTGGGTGTTTGGGTAAAGATGAGAAAGGAAAGGGTGGAAAAAAGATGATTCATATGCATTCTTCACTTTTTCTCCATAGCATTTTTGCCTACTTTAAGTGAGCTGCTTCCGGGCTACATTTTCTTAACTTTATGCATCCTCGCCCTCAAGAGACAATGTATATACACACACTTGATCTTAACCAAAAGGCAACGCGGTATGCGCACACTTGTTTTTAGCCAAAAGATGACGAGGTATTATATATAGAGAGAGAGTGAGGGAGTAGATAATTGTACGAGAGGCGACCTTAAAAAATAATTATATATTATGGATATCATTACCGTTCGGGCAAAGATATTTTTAAAATCTTCACAAAAAAGTTTAAATATTTACAAAATTTATAGATAATTAAATATAAAAAAATCCGGTTAGGGTGCTGCTCCCTCCACACAGCCGACCCATTAATACATAATAAAGACAAAAATAAGGATGATATATATATATATATATATATATATATATAGATATAAAAGAAAACATAAATATAATTTCAATTCTTCGAGATAGCCTAGGATAGCTTGAACAGTCTAGAGAGTGGGTGGTGCAATTCAATTGATTGACTAAGAATTTAAGAGATAGACAATACACGCTACACGAAAGTCAAAATTTTAGTCCGTCTCTTTAAAAAAAACCATATATAAGACACTAAAATAAATTTTCTAAAATGATTTCTTCTTATACACTTCCATTATTCAAAATTATAAAAAAAAAAAAAAAATTCTTTATCTAATTTTTTTAGGCAAAAAGTCTTTATTTAATTATTTGAAGTCTTTTAACTTGTTGATTCAAAAATTAAAACATTCATTAATTTTTACTCGGCTCAACTAAGAAAAAAATAAAAATAAAAACAAAAAGTCTTTACTCTACAATTTGGAGTCTTCACTTATATATATATATTTCATTCATCTCATCTTTTCTAACCCTCATACTACTCTTTTTTTATTTTTCTTTTTCTTTTTTCTTTGATTTTAAATCGATAAAAACTAAAAAATCTACATGATTGATAGTCAAAGGACATGATATTGCATGCATTCATAACGACAAATTAATCAAACTTTGATGGATCTTATTAGATTATTGGGAATTATCGCATAAAGTCTTTCAAATTAACAATCTAAATGCAGGCGCCGAAATATATAAACGAAACCACCTAATTCGCCAAAATCTGTCATATAACACGTGTTTAATGTGCATTGGATCTCAGCTGTAATGTAATAATCGGACTCAACAATTGTTGGTTTTCATTGGTGAATTTTACTACTATAAGGAACATATAAATTAATTGTCAAAGTTTATATAGTCCGTTTAGACCATAGAAAAATATATTTCTAAAAGAATTGCAACGAAACATATTTTAGTTTGTTTTATTTCAATTATAGCTAGCTGCTGCTTATCCTTTCCAAGGGTTGCACTCTAGGTTTGCTTTAAGCTGTTGGTGGGGACGACTTATTAATTTTTCATCCTTCTTTTTAAATAAAAAATAAAACAAACTTGCCGATTTAATTTCAAAAATTAAAAAGATGTGTTGTTGTGTGAGTATGTAATATGTTCCTTTTCATTAATTTTCAAGATATTTTTGGACTTGTATTACAATGTTATCAAAATAAAAAGATATTTGTTGTTGTTTGAGGTTCTTCCTTTTCATTAATTTTCAAGATTATTTTTGGACTTTTATTACAATGTTATCAACATTCATTATGGTAATTTGATCATCTCCAGTAATGTGTTAAAATCTTTTTATATAAAATATACACAATGTGTAAATATATATACATATATATATATATATATATATATATATATATATATCTAGTTAAGATACATTATTACATCACTAATGTGTAAAATTATTGTATATTTTGCCTAAGGATACACACGGTTCGGTTTGGACCGGTTTAAGAGTTTTTTGGAACCAAACCAATTTTAACAGATTCATAAAATTTGGAATTGAACCAAACCATTTGACCAAAGGAACTAAACCAAATCATGAAAAACCGATTTGGTTCGGTTCGGTTCCACGGTTCCCTTTTTTTTTTTTTTTTTTTTTTTTCTTTTGTGACAGAAGTATTCATATTTCAAAATTCACATGTACAACTATAAACCAAGTTAACAACAGATTCAGAACTATTAATATATTTAGAACTTTTAATTCATTATTCTCTATCACTTCTGGAATTGAAGTGAATAAATTCATAATTGCTAATAACCTAATACATTTAGAATTACAAATTCAACAATAAACAATCAGCCACAAATCAAAATTCAACCACTATAAAAAAAGAAAACGAAAAAAGAATCATCTAAAAAATTGAAAAAACCTAAGAGAATTAAGGTTGGACCATAGGATTGATAGTTGTTACAAATTTCTAAGTGATTTGGATTGTAAGATTATATTAATTATATTATATATATCGTATAATTTAACATTATATATATATATATATATATATATATATATATATATATATATATATATATATAACTGTTGCCCAAGTATTGACTCTAGAGGGGGTGAATAGAGTCTATGGTAAACAATGGCCAATTTTCAATTTTAATTGTTTGCAAAATCTAATAAACACCTTCTAATAATTATGTAATAATCAGGATATAAAACAATTAATTAATAGCACAATTGTAAAAGAGAAAAGTGAAGAGAAATGCAAACACTTAACACAACGATTTAGCGAGGTTCGATAACTCTTACTCCTCGGCTCAAGATCTCTCTTGAGACTTTCCCAATTCCACTATAGCACCTCCTTACGGGTGAAGAGCAAACCGGTATAAGAAGCACACCGCTTCTAATTCTTCTTGCTAAGAGAACAATCTTCTCTTAGACTTTTGCTGGATCACACCGATCCTTACAATTGATTTTAGACAGAAATTTGTTTCACAAGAATATATCTCTCAAAGATTGATATGCAAATCAAAGCTCACAAATAGAGTATAAATGAATATAAAAGAAGCTCAATACTCTATAAATGATATGTGAGAGAAGATGAAGAAAATGAATAACAAAAACTTTTTGATACTCAAGAGGTTTCTCTATTTCTTTCCAATCCATACCCATAATGTCCAAACATTGTGTATTTATAACCCCTTTGAAAAATATAGCCGATAAGGGGCAATATGTTAAGTTCCCATGAAGTTTCTACCCGTTGGGATACTTTCAGCAAGCCATCTAATCAATTACATTAGTAATCTAATCGAATACATTAGATCTAGATCTCATCTAATCAATAACATGTATGATGTAGTCGGTTACATTAGATCTGAAACTGCATCTGATCGAGTACATGTTTCATCTGATCGATTATTTGGACTCATCTGATCGATTAGATCAAGAAAGTAATCGGTTACATGGTGAAATGTGATCGAAGAGTGTGGTCACTGTTTTGAGCATCTGATCGACTACATAGTGGATCTAATCGGTTAGATGACAGAATGAAAAAAAAATGGGTTTTCTAGTTTTGGCTATCTGATCAAGCACATAGTGCTATCTGATCAGTTACTTCAGCAAACACTTGTCTTTACAATGTTTATATGTCCATTTACTTTAAGTTTACAATCCCCCCCCCCCCCCCCCCCCATTTGGATTTAATAAAAAAATATAAGAAAATTGAAATCCAACTAAATCAAAATGTAGGAAATCAGTTTTAGTACAAATTCAGATTCTAAACAGCCTTTGTAAAACTTGATCCTCCGTGTAGGCCTATGTAGAATTGATGAAAAAATCCCATAAAATTAGTTTAGGCTATTTGAAGTTTAAGGAGTAATTATCCGAAAAAATTATTTTGAAAATATTTTTATTTCAAAAAATCATATTTTCCATACTTAGACAAAAAACCAAAAGACAGTTTTTCATGAGAAATGTCCGGATCGTAAAGTCATTTACCAAG